TACCAACTGAACGTAAATAGCAGGTAATAATTGGATACTTATATCAACACTTTTGCATATTTGTTCAACATATTTATTATTTAATGTGAATAAAACTTATTTCAACTTTTGTTGAAGCACTACACAATCTAACTCATATAAATGTAATCTCAATATAAATTACATCTCTAGGTTTTTTAGTTTAATAAATACCTATTGTAAAGATAAATTCATGTGCTTTATTTTCCCGATTTTCCCTAGTTTTCACACGAACACAATTTTAGCAGGCGATTTGAATTCACTTTAGGAACTCTGTGATTTCCGTTGAAGTTTCAATAATATTTCGAGTATCTCATATTGCCCTTTAATTGTGATGTTAATTGAAGCCCTAGCATAAACATCACAATTAAGGAGCATGATGAAATACTTGAAATGTTATTGAAACTTCAACGGAAATCACAGAGGTCATAAACTGAAATCAAATACCCCGCTATATTTTGATGTGAATCCAATCGATAAAGAATATTTCTTCTGCCGGTAGTGGAAATTAGAGTTTAGTTCTGATTGCAGCCGGTGATTTAAGCGACAAATAGCATTCTGCAGGCGTATATGACAGTTTCCAATCTATCACCTCTGTGATCTGTGGTTCGGCACTGCTTGCTGTTCAGTTAGCTCGTGAAGTCGTTCTAAAACGCAGTCAAAGGCAGAAAAGATGAGCGTTTTTCACTGCAGCTAATTGCATCTAAGGACTATATTGTATAAACGAATCGCAAAATAATAATTTTGTCTAATAAAAGGAACATTAGCAGTGAAAGCATTTATTAATGTTGAGAAAATCAACGAATTGATTCCGAAACCTTTTTCATAAACATTAAAAAATGTAATGCAGTAATAACTTTGTTTATTATTATTATTATTTCAACAACACATCATACATACAAGCTTGATTTTTTTTCACCAAGTAGTAAGGATGGTCGGTATTTAACGTAACCGCTAAAATAACATTGTTACAAACATGTAACCTGAAACCGTAGTTACAGCTAGCAAATTTAACCGGTTGTTTTTGGAACYGTCTCATAAACCCGAAAAAGCCATTCGCAACAGYACAGAACCGATGCGACACSGTCGAGTATCTATCTAGCTGCAGCCGTTTGTCAATTTAAACYGTTCTTTAAATTKTACGATTTATGAGACGGTTCTCAAATTTGGGAACCGTCTCATAAAACCGAAACAGTTGAGTGCACTTCGAACCAGCTGCAGCCTTTAACCGTTCTTTTTGGAACCGWCTTAAACCKTTCTTTTTGGAACCGTCTCATAAAACCTAAACAGTTGTCCGCACTTTGYACTAGCTGCAGCCGTTTGCCGATTTAAAYGTTTTTTTTTTTGGAACCGTCTCATAAACCTGAAAAAGTGGTTCSCGTCAGCACAGAACCGATGCGGCATCGTAGAGCGCTCTATCGAATTGCAGCAGTTTTAACAACCATTTGTCAACGGAAAATATGTATAGTGGCGTCTTGCCTTGATTATTGTGTTTATCGCTTTTCGTTTATAATTACTGTTCAGTTCTCCAGAATCCATAATCGTTCAGATATGGATCAGATATTAATTCAGAATTTTTAGTCTGTAAGTAGTTTTCTGACGTTCTGTAATAGATCTTAAAAAAAAGGGATTTCTGCATCACTTGTACACTTGCATATGAGCTTTGACCAAATTTAGAGTCTAAGATATAAATTCCGTCACAGTTGAAATGTAAAATAATAAGCGTTGTAAGCAGAATGTGCACCTGCATTTAAGCAAGCTTGCCATTTTTAGATATAAATTCAGTCACAAAATGAAATGAAAGTTAGTTATATAGGCGTTGTAAGGTCGACATATTTTTTAAAAGTATTTTTTGGTGGTACCAAAATTAACTCGGGTAATACTGCTAACTCAGTAAAAAACATCTGCAAAAAATTATTTTTAAACGTTAATTCATTTTTAAATGAAAATTAGATTTTTAAACAGTTTTACAAATAAAGCGTATATTTTATTTAATCAGTTTTTTTTATATATTTTATCTAGTTTATTATCATTTCTTTTGTTCTTTAAGTGGGTACTTCTGACCCATGTTTTGTTTTTTATTTTATCTAAGAGCTTTAGTTAAAAGTTATTATTTTAATAAACTAAATCATTATTTGTCATTACTCTTTCTACCATCATCATTGCGCATGTTTAATGGAAAATT